GTAACCCATTCCCTTAATATTGGGCTGGGCTTTTTCGGTTCAGATTATCGGGTTCGGGTCAACCGACCCAGCGGGTAAATGATGGCAGACCCGATTGGGTTTTCGAGTGGGTTCAGGTTCTGCTCACCCCTAAATACAAGTATCAAGTATGTTTATTAGCTAATTTTGTTAATATATAAAAGTCAAAATGGTATATGTTAAACATTAGTTTTCATATCTAAGTTTTTTTTTTTGAAAATTTTTATATCTAAGTTATTAATTTATATCTTAAATATGAAGGGTTGAGACCAATACAAAGTATTTTTTATAAATATTACAAGTTGTTCAGTTAGTTTACGATTTATCGGTCTATAATCAAACCTAACCAAACTGTTCGGTTTGAGTAAACTATTACTAAACAATTTACTTAAGTGAACTCAAACTAAACCAAAGCACCGACTTCCGGTTTGGTTTGGTTTGGTTAAACCAACCTGTATTGGATAGTTATACTATGGAAGTAGTTCACGGTGAGCATGAACAATATATATTTTTAATTACGGATATACTCGAGTTACATTGCTACTTGTCTATAGTTACATCCTGTAACACACGATTTACATCTCATTGAAGTTTCATTGTATACCACCTGAGAGAGTAAAACAAGTTACATTCCAGTGCGTAAGTTTCATTTGAATACATTGGATTTACATTTCACAATGACGCGAGTTATTTCAATACAAAGGATTCACATCACGGAAAAATTGAGAGAAATGTAAGAGTACTGTTCACGCGGTTTTCTCCAATTAAAACTTAAATCTAAATGATGCCATTTTATAAATGGGAGCATATGCACACCGTGGGATCTCACGTTATAACAACTCCTAAAATATCCTAACTATGATGTGTGCTTATAAGTTTTTATTAGATTTAGCTTCAACTACATAAATTTTCACTACTCTTAAATAATGATGCCACCACGTCTTCATATCCAATGTTACTGAGGTAGTAGTACAATAAAAGGTGAGGGAGTACAATTGTACAAAAATATCCTCTGCCATATAATTTGCCTCAATGCCGGGAAAAAGCAAATGGGGAAGCGGCCTGTTGCACACTTGCACCCCGGGCTTCTCTTTCCTCCCAACATCTCATTTTATTTTGACCTTCGCCACAACCACCTTCTTCTCTTCTTCCTCCAAACTTTCCTCTCCACAAATCTCATTATATTATCTCTCGCATTCTCTGCATCTCTATATAATTCATTCATTTGACTCTCCCACACCCTCTCTCTCTCCCTCTCTCCATGTATCCGCGTATAATATCACTTCCTTGTAGTTTTTTCAACCTTTCTGAAAATTCTAACCCCCTGTGCAGAAATATATTAGTTTTCTTTCATTTTTCAAGACATGGGCAGTTGCTTTTCAACTTCTAAAGTCAGTGGTTCTAACAGCAGCCGCGCCACTTCTTCCGGCACCACCGCTGCGAACATCCGCAAGGGGGCGGTCATAAAGGAGCCGCATTGTTCTGTACAAAAGGCCGCTCACAAAGGGCATGATCATCAACAACCGAATTCCAGGAAAACTGGGGTTATCCCTTGTGGGAAGAGGACAGATTTTGGATACGATAGGGATTTTGATAAAAGATATAGTGACGTGCACTTTGTCGTGAGTGCACTCAAAGTAAATTCAACACTAGCACTTATACGTAGTATAGGTGAAGTAGAGTTCGTATCCACAGGGAAAGGAATAACTTTCTTTTTATATAAATGGTAAGTAAAGGGGGGTTTTGATTGTTGAGTGATTTAATTAAATTTAAACACGAAGATGAACGATTTATATGGGATTTAATTCAAAGATAAAATTGACTTGGTATTGCTACTTTCCACTTGTTGATATATTTTAGTCGATCATTGTTATATCTATAACTTATCTCCTCTCGAATACTCAATCGAGGAGTATATCCAATTCATCGAGGATAGTTATTAACAACGACCGTTCATTAATAACCCTTACTATTAGTCAAGTATAGAACAACGCCATATATCGACTTGATAGTAGCATTTAATCTTTTAACTCCTTGATGAAATCAATTGAGATTGATAACCTTAACACAACGGTTTCGGTTTAACCAACAAAATTAATCCCTCTTAAGTCTATTAACCACGACCGTGCATTAATAAACCGAAGTTACTTACTTGTGAAACTATCAACGATTAACCATCGGTTCGTTGATCATTTCTAGTAGTAATTAATATTTGAAACAAAACTAGTTGATCCTTTAAGTAATGTTCAAAATATTAATATGAAATATGAATAGGAATTAATTAATACTCAAGGAAGAATATTAAAAGGGAATGAATCCTACTATAGTTAAATATCAAGATGTCAACTAATTGTCATCTTAGTAACACTCCCCGATATTAACATAGAGGAAGGAATAGCTATTACTAAAACCAATGTCAAGATGTTAACTAATTGTCATCTTAGTAACACTCCCCAACATTGATATATAAATAGTATTTAAAGGAAGAATTAATATTCAAGGAAAAGAAGTTAAGAAAATAACTCACAACTTTAATAATCAACAAGCTTCAAGAGCAATACCAAGAATTGGAAGTTTAGCTCCTCATTTGGAGACTAAACATGCTAAAAGAAATATAGAGAAATGCTATTCTAAACTGAGCTTAAGAGTATATATGAATTGGTGTCCTTAAAGTGAAGGAAAGGAGGTGTATTTATAGGCTTTTTGAAATGCAGGTCGAGTACTCGATCGAGTATGTACATATACTCGATCGAGTATGTGTAGAAACCTGAATTTGGTCAATACTCGATCAATACTCGAGTAGATTTTATATGTATACCCGATCGAGTATGTCGGTGTACTCGATCGGGTATGACAATAGAACGTGGCCAAATCTTTCCTTGCATGTTCATTTGTTCCCGGATCGGATCCTTGAAAATCAGTATTGGTACTCGATCGAGTATAAGGTATACTCGACCGAGTATACCCCAAAATCAGGAGTTTTTCCTTCTTTTTGTCTTCTACTCTTGCACCTTCCTTCACCTTTGATCATTTGATTGATCTTGGACCTGTTTAAGCTCAGAATAAACCTAATCTAAACAAATTACAAGAATTTAACAAACTAAACTATTACACCGAAAGTGTGTAATTTCCGAAATATTAAACAACCAAAACTAACTAAAAACGTAAATAAACACACGGAAATTACAAACGTATCATATAGTCTGGGTAAGTTATTAGGACATGGCCAATTTGGGTACACATACGTCGCCACCTACAAGTCCAATGGAGATCGTGTCGCTGTTAAGATAATTGAGAAGATCAAGGTCCCCCTTTTTCCTTTTTGCTTGCTCTAATTATTTAATTTCACCTGATTGTGTTGGAACATATTCTTGATTTGGGAATGTTACCAATTACCGGCCAGGTTTTACACTTCTCAATTTACACTAGGTTAAATTCGGATATTTTGGGTTTACTGGTTGGTAGTATAAAGTATGGATGATGGATCCCCACGGTATGGCGCATCTATTAAATTTTCTGAAATAGGAGTACACTTGTTTTCTTCAGACAAAATAGGACTTCTCAAATTAGTACTCATGTACTCCTATTTAGGTGAAGTTTTTATTCTCTCATTATTCAACCAAGATCATAGAAATTTTATCTTGGGAAGAAAACATACTTAGTCCTATTTGTAGCAGTTTTGTAACTTAAGTGCATTCTTATCTACCTATTACCGTATTACGTGTACATTTATCTGAAATGTATCGATTATAGATGCATCAGGAAGTTAATTGCAACAGTGAGTTATGATGCTTAATACACTTGTTAACTAATGGACAATATGTATGCTGAGTTAGACTACAACCAAACTTTGCGCTTTTTTCTGTTAAATATTAGTGCAAATTATCCTCACAAATCCAGAGATTCATAACAGATGCTTCTTCCCATAGCTGTTGAGGATGTAAAGCGTGAAGTCAAAATATTGAAGGCCTTAGCTGGTCATGAGAATGTGGTTCAATTTCATAATGCATTTGAAGATGAAGATCATGTATATATTGTAATGGAGTAAGTTTCCTTTCATAACACTCCATTCCCTTATTGAACCGCATTTACTCTACTTAGGGTCTGAGTGGATGGAGGCTCTTTGAGGGAATTGGACGGGAAGGCTTTGGAGAGCGTAGTCAATATCATGATGAATACAATATTTGTAAATAAAGAATAAAAGGTTATTGAAATGATATACCATCACATATTATGTTGATGTTTCATTTTTTAATAAAACATCAAATATTATAGGGGAAAATAATCTAAATATCGCAAACTTTGAAACGATGTGGGATAAGCACCCCAAACATGCACATGTAATATATATACCTCAAACTTTATATAAATATTATTTTAGCACCATGATTATATTTTTCTTCACAAATTTACTTTTTTGGTGTTAAGTGCATAATATAAAATACAAAAACATTTATGAGGATGCAATTAAAAATAAATTGTACCAGATGTAATATTATTTTTTTATTAAATGAAATTTTAGATGTTAATTGCATCCTAATAAAGCTTATAGTATTTTAATTAAATTATGTAATTATTCCCACAAATTTATATTTGTAAAAAAACACAATCATGGTGTGAAAATAACTTTTTAGATAAAGTTCGGGGTATATATATTACATATGCAAGTTTGGGGTACTTATCTCACACTCCATCAAAGTTTGTTGTATTTATATTATTTTTCTCAGTAATTATATTAACATATAGAGTAGCTCTCGAAGCCTCGAAGGTTTTCCACTTTTCCCCCAAAACCCTACATTGAAATAGATTCATAGGGTCAGCTAGCGGGTTGGATTTTGGATGGCTAAATCTATATCATGATATGTATTGAGACTTTACAAAAAGGTTTAGAGAATCCATATAAGTTTATAACATCTCTATAACACATTATTCATTTTCTCCTTTCATAAGCATTCTTGTTTCATGATATAGACTAAGCTCTCCAAAGCTTTCACCTCCTAATTCCTCCATTCAAACTGGTCCTTAGTTGCAAATATTTGCTCAACTAAAAAGTAAAAAAGCATTTTGTTTCAGATTATGTGAAGGTGGAGAGCTTCTTGACCGTATTCTGGGCAAGTAAGTTTTTTTCAAAACACTTCGGTTGCAGTATTTGTTTTCTTGTATGAGTTTCTGATTAAAATGTATAATCATATAGGACTTACGAATAGTTTCCCTTTAATTAGAAAAGATAGCCGCTACACTGAAAAGGATGCAGCAATAGTAGTGAGGCAGATGCTCAAAGTTGCAGCACAATGTCATTTACATGGTTTGGTCCATCGTGATATGAAACCTGAGGTGTGGACGGTTCTTCATACATTCATTAAGTAGGGTCTTTCTTAAGTGCATGTCTGAGACAACTTATAAAGTCATAATATAACGGCATATGTGCTTTCATCATCAGTGCTTTCTCACTGAAGAACTCAAAGTTTTAATGTCATCTACTGAAAAAGCACCAATATGCTACTATTTTTTTAATTAAAGCTTCAAAGAGGATTTTTTATAGTCAAAACACGTTTTCCATTTCCCTGTTAAACAATTTTTATTAAAAGTAAAAGTGCTTTGTTTTTCTAAAAGGCACTTGTTTCTTCTAAATAAGACATCCCAAGCATTTTCTTATACGCTACCTTGCTTACACATTGTTTTTATGCAGAATTTTCTTTTCAAATCACCAAAAGCAGATTCTCCATTGAAAGCAACTGACTTTGGTCTTTCAGACTTCATAAGACCAGGTATTTAGATGATTTACTGTTTGTTATTCAATCTAATAGTAATCACTCATCTAAAAAAACTGAAGTTATGAACTTCTAGTGGAAAAACAATCATAAATGCAGGGAAAAAATTTCAAGATATTGTTGGAAGTGCATATTATGTTGCCCCAGAGGTATTGAAGCGTAGATCAGGGCCTCAATCTGATGTTTGGAGCATCGGTGTAATAACCTATATTTTACTCTGTGGTCGGCGACCCTTTTGGGACAAAACAGAAGATGGTATATTCAAGGAGGTGTGGCTCTTGATTTTCACTTATTCTTAACAAGCTATGGTTTGGTCTAGTTCATACATTCGGGTAACGATATGGGTAGATTTTGGTGTTCACCTGGTAATTTTACTATTTCACCCCTAATATATAGGTCTAATTAACATTACAGTGGGGTTATAATTGTAAAATCACTCCCAAAATGTACACATTGAATTACACTGCATTGACTTGCATGCTCTTTTAAAATGTCCTGTGTCACGCCCCGGACCTACCGGACACGTCAACAACCCGCCGTACAGTACGAATAGTCAACCGCAGTCCAACTCATCCATACTATACTAGGCGTCTTGAATATCATTCACAATAGTACATCCATAAACAAACATAATGTAAAATAATCAATTGAAATCAGCGGAAACGTTTAATACAAGTGTTTATGCCACACTCCGGCAAACATGGGCATACAAGCCCCAATAATCATTCAAAAATATCCATGAGCATTAATTTAAATGTTTTTAAAACAGGGACGGAGGAAGCACGAACCACGTCTTCCTTCCTAGATCTTCCCGAGGCAACGGGCACTGGTAGCAAGCTCTACTCCCTACCTGAAACTGTGAGGTGGCCTCCCCCGTGAAGGGGAGGTCAGTACTTGGAAGCATTTGACAAGTACAATGACAACTATACCAAGTATAATCAATGTTTCAACTTCTAAGACCCTCAAAATAGGGTGATATCATAATATAAATAATAATTTATATTTCCCACTTATTATCTCTATAATAAGTAAATTTATTTATTTGTCGGCACACGGCCCATTTCATATATTTCATTATACCCGTCGTTAGCACGACACCGCCCGTAGGTCTTATCATCCTTTACGAGACTTGTCACCGCTCTCCGAGGCCTCCCCGGGCTCTCGGGCCGGAGTCCAACATCCCGCCCCTGAACTCATACCCATCGTCCCGTAGGAAGGTAAGGTCCATTCGGGGTCCTATCTTATGTGTTACCGCTGTCGGGAGCCTCGTAAGGTCTCCGGTTCGGATTCCACCCTAACCCGTGATCACGATGTAAGTCCATGCTATCCAACCCGCTCTCTAGAGTCGGGAAGGGCCATGGTCCTTACTAATTTTCAATACTCTATCGGCTAATCCTTGAAGACTACCGAATACACCCGTAGGCCAATCCTATTCCTAGGATCAATTTATTATTCACTTTATCTTGGGTATCCCTTAAGGCCTACCCCTAGCATCACTTATCCACCTTAGTATCTCTTAAGACTACTTAAGGCTCAACCATTTACAATCCAAACCTTGGATCAATTCTAACATATTTCATTCTAAAACCCCGACTAGTATCATAATACTAGTCGGATAAATTCCAACAAAAACTCATTTTCAATTCAAAGTCATATAGACAATTTCCAAACTAATTTTCCATTGAAAATATAGTTCATATAAATATACAAAATATAACCTTTAACCCCTCATATATCCTTATATGAAGTTATAGTTATATTTCAACACAATATTTATAACTAACCCCTCCATCAAGCCAATATGCTCATATTACATAATCGTACACAATTTATCCTTAAATTTGTATATTATGCTCCTTTATTCATTGACGGACTAAGAAGTGCATTTGTACAACCTTGCACTCTTGCAGGCATTTGCTGGCACACTTCACGAGGAAGAGTTGGCTGATCTAAAAGATCAATTTTCTGCCATTGATGTAGATAAAAATGGTGTTATTAGTCTTGAAGAAATGAGACTGGTATATTTCCTCATTATATCATGTATTGCCCCTCGTAAATGTGGTGTTTATGTTGCTTGTTTTGTTTGGTGAAATATTTTCACTTTCAGTTCCACTGCTACTATTAAGTCATTTCCATTTTTGGTCATGGACTTCCACTTTTTGTCCTTCATTCCACTTATCCGGCGTAGGTGACTGCAAATTACCAATACTAGCAAAAATCCATAGTTGTGCACCAAAAAGGGGAAAAAGTGAGATTAACCTAATAGATGTGGGACAAAAAGTGACTTTTATTTGGGTTAGACGTAAAAACACGTAATAGAGTGCTTGTTTATTGCAGGCTCTTGCCAAGGATCTACCGTGGAAGTTGAAAGAGTCGCGTGTTCTTGAGATTCTTCAAGCGGTAAAATTGTTTTTTTTTGTTCAAGGAAAGAACCTTAGTATTGAATTTTCACATAGTTTATTCACGAGATAATTATCCTAGGTATGACTAAAACTTTGTATAGTTTATTCACATAGTTTATTCACTTTCTCAATCTATGACCTAATTAGTTTTTTTTTACCAAAATAATACTCTGTATTAAAATTCATAATATTTAATTAAAATTTGTAATAAATAAGTAATTAAATAATTTAGGTGGACAAATATACCCTTTAAGTTATATCTATAAAACCCTAAGCTCTTAATCTTTTCTCCAACCCTGGCCTCCATTATCCCACCTCCATAGACCCACCTGCCTACCGCCGCAAGCCCCATGGCCCGCCATCTGCCGCCGCTCCATGGCCCACCGACCACCGTCCGCCACCGTCCAGGAGACACCATGTGCAAGATCCTCTATCTCATGCGCCGACTTGATAGCGCGCACCGCAACCCCTTCCATTCATGTAAAGCATGGAGACACCACTCACTTTGCCACCATTCACATAATGCTCGTACTCATCAAACCCACACGCTCCATATTCAATTTCCTTTCCAATCAATTGAACTATTAATGAACATCATTGTTGAACCATTACCTTAACCACCGAAGTGTTGCCAAACCCTGGCCTAGCAGGGAGGGGGGAGTGCTGCGCATGTGATGAGTTTAAGTGAATGGGTCTGTAGCAATTTGTTACGTGATGAGTGCGGTGCTGGGGTGCTATGTGAAGATGAGTTTGCTTTGGATCCGCTATTAGTTTAGGCCCTCCATTCTCTTATGCTTTTCTATTTTTGAACTTTGGAGTTTGTAAAATTGGGGTTTGTGGGCATTAAATAGGGGCAGTGAATATGAGCAGTTATCATCATAATCAGGGCCGGTCCTAGGGGGAGGGCAGCAAGGGCGACCGCCCTAGGCCCGAAAAAAAGCAGAAAGAAAATTAGGCCCAATTTTTTTTCTTTATATGTAACCTGAGCAGGCTTCTTTTTTTATTTATAATTTCAATTAATTAATTAGGTCTAATGTGTAATTTTTGTTGACAATTTGAGAATCTTAAAATATAAGTAAAAAGTCTTTAACAGAGCTAGACAAGTTTTTAGAAAGAATATAAATTTAGTTTTGATTTTTAAATAGACCTGGTTGTAAGTCAACACATTTGTTGTTGAATCAATAAAAGCATGTCTCTTCACATCTTTTTAGCTTTTAAGATTTTTTATTCTTTTAATTACAAAATTACCAATTTATATTATTGTCTTTGGGCTGTCAGTGCCTCCCAATACTCAAACATCATCCCGATTATCTATTATGCCTCTAAAAACTTAACGGATTAGCAATTTTAAACATTGCACATGTGATCTTGGAAAAGATTGATTATAAAACAATTATTGAGATTTTACTTCATAATGTTCTTTTGTAATACTTGTATTGTTACTTTTGTCCAAATATGCAATTCAAATAATATGAAGGTGAATTTCATCTTTATTTTATAACCTTTATTAGATAGTTGTAGGGAAAATTTTTGAAATAGGAGTAAATTTTTCTGAGAATTCCAAAATAGGACTGTCATGTGTTTATTTTCTGAATAAGAATAATTGCTGTCATGTTCGGAAAATACTACCACGTGTAAAATATGACACTGTATGACAGTAATCACTTCTATTTAGATAATAAAAATATGATAATCTTAGTTTGGAATATACAAACGTTTTTAGTCGTATTTAGAGTAATTTCTCCTAATTTTATTATACTCCATTATTTTACTTTAAGTAAGTATAATTTACTTTTTGTCTTGGAAATAAGGCCAGAATGGTATATCGCCCATAGGCCCAAAACTGGACAGGACCGGCCCTGATCATAATAGATATTGTCGAGTATGACAATATATATGTTGTACATGGCAGTGAATGAATGCATTAAGAAATTTTGTTGTGCAGTGATTATGACCAGTAGTGCAGTAACACAGAGCAGTGATTTCGCATTTTCGCCATGAAGTGCAATATACTTAATTAGACGCAAAATAATGAAATTATTAAATCTAAAAAAATTAAAACTATAAATATTAATTTTCTAAAGTGAATGAGAAGAGAATCAATTTTGGCGGAAGTGCAGTGATTGTTACCGGATGTGCAGTAATGTCGTGCAGTGAAGACAATATAAAGTGCAGTAATTATAATAGGAAAGAATTAGTGCAAAATGAACATATTTTAAATAAGGGTATTTTCGTCATTCAACATTTAAATATAAATGATTTTTTTTGGATTTTCGGTCATACAAATGTCTAAAATCTAAGTTAGTCATATTTAGGGAAACTCAATGAGTTTTAATCATATCCTAGGAAATTTCCCTTTATTCATGGTTTTCATCGTTTTCTTAATGACAGATAGACAGCAATACAGACGGGCTTGTGGATTTCCAGGAGTTTGTTGCAGCCACTTTACACATAAATCAGATAGAGGGGCATAACTCAGAAAAGTGGGAGCAAAGATCACTAGCCGCTTTTGAGAAATTTGATATTGATAAAGATGGATATATTACTCCAGATGAACTTAAATTGGTCAGTCTCTTCATTTCTTGTTTTCTCTCTAGGTTTTTGAGTTTTTAGCTAATATTTGTTCACAATGTCAAACACAATATCTAGATCTAGATATTGTGTTTAACATTGTTAATAAAATTAACTAAGAATCAATACAAAGGAAAAAGGACAGAAATTTCATTAATTATTTCTTAGGTGTCTATCTCTCACATCACTCACATGACACGGATGCACCGTGAACACTTGTATTAGAGGTGCTCTTAGTTGAAGTGTTTAACATATGCTTCGAATAGGGAAGATAAGTATACCCTCCTCTGTATACTTACTAGTTAGTTAGTAACTAAAAAAGTGATGGTGAATCCTAGCAGCATTTTGGGCTGAATCAATCATTACCTTAACAAATAGAAATAATGATGCCATTAAGGATATGTATGGATTCCACAAAACGTCAGGGGAATGAAAAATGCCATGTTTCCCCTCTATATTTTTTGGAAAATAAAAAGGGTGACAAACTATGTTTAGCTCTTTTCAAAATTTTACGTGGTATATTTAGATTTGTTAGTCTTCACGAGTTAATGCAATTGCAGTAGCTGTAAGTGAATAAAATGAGTATCAACAAATTTTTAAAATAAATATACCCCGTATTTATTTGTAGTGTTTCTTTAATCTTTCACACACATTTTCTTTCCATCAAAGTTCCTATACAGTTTACTTCCTATTTCCTTCCTCAAGTATTTTCCGGGCCCCAAACGGACCCTATGGGTATTTTTGCATCACAGAAAATGATTGGGAAAGAGGAAAACGCTAATGAAAGTTAACATATTGTGCTTGGTTTTACTATATCCCAAAGGAAAACAGAATATGCTTCGTTCTTGATATTTTTCAAATTTCTGGAATTAGTAGTCTATATTCTATATAACATAAATAAGTAAAATAAACTTAGTTTTAGAAAAATGCTGTAACATAAATTCATTGAATTTTAATCTTTGACTTATTCACCCTAATAAAAAACTCCTTTATGACCCCCCCCCCCCCCCCCCGTTTTTTAGCTATTTTCATTCCCTAGCAATTTCCCAGTTCTAAAAGCACCCTGAGTGTTGTGAGTCCAGGGATCTTGAGATTAAGAGGTTCCCTGAGTGTTCCCCTGCTTGTTTATTGACTCATATAACCCATCACCACCCCATTGTGGTTTATGTACTTCTCATTGTATATAGATAAATCATTTTTATACAAGGAGAGTTGCTTATTTGTTGCAGCATACTGGATTAAGAGGCTCCATAGATCCACTCCTGGAGGAAGCAGACATAGACAAAGATGGGAGGATAAGCCTATTGGAATTCCGTAGGCTATTAAGAACTGCGAGTATGGGCTCCCGGAATGTCGCAAGCCCATCTTCAAGACAAGGCCCGAGACTCTAACTTGCATAGAAATGTACTACTATTCATTCAATCTGCATTTGCCATCAAATAGATAAAGAAAGAGGATCTGAGTTTGCTGTCCAAAAAAGGGAAACAAAACGAAAATCATGTTAAGGTGCTTTTGGCCTTCCATTGGAAATGTTGTGTATATGATGTAGTGGGAGATGTGGGCAATCGTCATCCCTTTTTTTTCTTGGTTCAACATCGTGTAACTTTCAATGTTGACTAATTAATAAAGCTGCTGCCTAATTAATCATCGAACTTAGGCATGGACCGGTTTCGGGCCGGGCCAGTCCAAACCGGGCTTTTTATTGTTGGGTGAAGGCCCGGAACTGGCCCGGGATTCCACCGGGTCCGGGCCGGTTCTTATTTTTTTTTTTTGCTTTTCTAATTACCCCAAAACACCCAGCCCAACCCGCCTACAACAAAAAAAAATGAAAAAACAAAAAAAGGCCCGGACCGGCCGGTACCAAAGGAAGGGCAAGCCCGGAACCGCCCTGCCCTAACACCCCGGACCGGTCCTAGGCCCGGTTCCCGGGCCGGCACAGTGGCAGGCCGGGCCGGTTAGAGCGGAACCGGTCTATGCCTAATCGAACTACCACCCAAATGTGATATTTGACCCTAATTAAAATTCGAACTACCACCAAGTCAAACTGCATAAGTTCGTCAAATGCCCCAAAACTTAGCATACCTGTGCTATTATTCCATTCCTCCACAAAAATGACTCCCTTAATTCACAGTTTTCTTAGCTAATATAAGACCTTCACAAACATTTAACATACATGTAGGTAATCCGGTTGTACAACTTCTTTCTATCAATTCTGGGATTTTACCACTTCTACGGAGACTGTGACTGTGGGGGGGGGGGGGAGTGGCCTCGGGTAAAACCTCCTCAAGTTTTGTAGTGTGCATACCCTGAAACAGATCTGCAATGATACACTTCCAACCTGCTCTTGGCTTCCTGCAACAATCTCTCCACCTTGTCATCTTGAACCAAGAGCCCCTGCTGCTTTGATGCCCATTCTAGAGCCGATAGAACTTCAGCCTTGGCGAGCTCTTCACTGTCAGGGACGTGCATGGCAATGTAACAAAGTAGATACAATGCAGGACCCCGAATCGTCTGTCCACCAAAATAAACGTGTTCAACCAAATGCTTCGCCCCACCTGAAGCTATGATAGCCTTGGAATGGTCCAAGTGAAGGTAGTTCTCCGTGCATGCAAACTTGGCAAGAGATATGGACGCCTCTTTCGAGACCACAGTTTCTTGGTCTTCAAGAAGCTTGACTAAGAGGACAGATCATCCTCATCTCGGTTGACCTAAACGTCCTGGCGAGATTTTCCGATTGTCTTAATGCACGGTATGAGGAGATTCGGGGACAGGCTTCTCAATGATTCTGAGCAGCTGGTCCGCAACCCGCCTTGCAACGCCGGAGAGTTTGGCTTGAACGCCGACCTTCTCAGGGTCGACGTCTTTCTCCGCCACAGCGGTGATCTCCATCACCGCCATCGCAGAGTTGTACTGGGCCTCTTCTAGGACCTTTCTCCAAGAGAGCCGCGAAACACAATAGAGCTCTAGACTCGGTTTATGCTGTGGCAAATGGGAGAGTTGTCTTTGCAGAGGGTACCACAATGCTCTTGCCGCCATGGCTTTCATGTAGGCCTTGGTAGATGGATCTTCAAGCTCTTTGGCATGATGATGGTGATGGTGACTGGAGTGGTTCTGCTTAGCTGGATTTATCATGGCCATTGTATTGTGAACGACGTTATGAATCTGGGCATGTTTCTTGTTGTTCTCCAAGGGGTGAGCAACTATGCTCTTCTGGTAATCGTCATCATCATCGTTTGCTACGCTGTTAGCGTTCAGAGAATTCTCATTGTTGGCTAGCACAAGGGCGTGGATGGAAGTCGCCTTGCAGGAAACAGCATACTTGCTGTGTTCCAAGATTGTTTCAAAGGCGAGATGGGCCTACCAGTAAGCGGATGATGTTGTTCTGGGCGAAGAGATCTTGGCATGTGGGGAAATGGGAAGCCAGCTCTGAGATCGCCCATGCTACCCACGGCTTGTACCTTTCATGGGACCTTGTTTGAGCATGTTTTACCAAACACTTGGCATACGCCGGCGTGCACCATGTGTTCCACGCTTGCCGGATCCCGGCCCAGCAGCCCGATCGCTCTGGCGGCGTTCTCTTGGCCTTCTACTTTGCCATCCTTGAGGAGCTTTAGCAGCGGCCCCCCACTCCGCCTTCCTCCATTATCAGCGTCCCGTAACGGTCGTTGTCCCGGGCGAGGGACACAAAGCGACGCCGCTGCGTCGGACTTGTCGTCGGAGAGCCTGTGTGGAGAATAGCGATCTGTTCCCAGATGAGGCAGAGGATGGGCTCGTTGGAGGCGATGGGAGGGAGGCCGAGGTGTTCTCCGACGCGTCCGTCGGCGGAGGCGGAGACTCGGAGGAGCCAGGACATGTCGCCGATGGAGTTATCGAGTTGGGATTGCATCTTGCGGAAGGAGGCGGCGGGGATGATGGTGAAGACGCGCTTGATGAGGCCATGGGCGCGACACTTGAGGACAAGGTTTAAAGCCTTTTCCAGAACCTGGCCCGGTGTCGTCGATGATCCGCCGCGCGTCGGCCCGCTCGTAGAGATCGCTGCTGGTACGCGCGGCTTGGCGGAGAAGCTCGGCGAGCTTCTCCGTCCTGGACTTCAATTCTGCGCACTCTTGCTTGAAGGAACTGGCCTCGTCTGCAGCTTTGCTGACGTTGTCAGCCAACTGGATCGGCTTTGTAAGAATGTGCTTCACTTTGTCCGCCATTATTACCAGTCACAAAACAAAACCCCCCAAAATTCAATCTTTGCGGCATCCCCAAAAAGG